AATGAGTTCATCAGAGGGCCCCTATGGGGCCTGTGTACTGATAAAATCTTCTTGCCGCTGTTGAATGGCGAGCAGGAGTGAGAAGATCTTCATCTCTCACGTGGCCGGAGGGTCCTACATCGAAAACCTGTAAGCCTACTGGCCACAAAGTGAGTGTGACCCAATGGAAAGACATACCGCAGCAAAAGAATTGAGCTTCTCTTGCTGCTCAGCATGAAGCTTCGCTTTGACTCCAAGTCTTTTGGCATACTCGAGGACATTCCGGCTGACTGTATTGGCCCTAGTTGCGGGATGTGGTGCATAGTAGGCAGAAGAAGTGTCGTTGTTACTAGCAGTAAGCTCTCGAGAGTGGTCTCTGATGGTACCAGTATCTTCTTCCTCCGAATCGCTCATGCTCTCAGCGAGGCGGGTCTGTTTTCCGAGAACGGTGGCCGGTTGCTTGGAACTGCCAGGCTACGAGCTACTGGCATTAGTGAATCACTCAAGCTCGTTACAGAAGGCAGTTGCAGAAACACAGAGTGCATGTTGATGGGTGTTTAAAAGGAAGGACGACATGCCGTCCTACAGTTTTATGTTGTGATCATTTGGTGGACTTTTGAAGGACTGCTCCAATCATGTCTCAAACAATACAGGCCACATGCGATCCATTGGCATGAGTGAACCACATGCACCATGAATAATCTTCATTTTTAACTTCACCAGTCAGTGTTCACGTCCTGGAAGCATGTCTTGCCAAGAATTGTACAAAAAATATCAGTTTACTTGCAGAAATTTAGGCAACCAACAATACTTATGGGACATATCGGAGTATGACGATAAGTGAAGTGACGAGCTGGAGAATATGGGTGCAGATTTGTTAAGTGCAGCGTCCTAGTCGAACGCTGAATTTGAGGAGGGCGGTGGCAACAAGGCAGAGCTCTCAGATGATCACAACCCGAACATGGAAGAAGACCCTGAGCCAAGTTCTTGCAAGCGCAAGAGAGCATGACCGCATCTGTATTTATGCCGCGGTATATATAGAGCATTGCTACTATATGCCAATAAACTTGCTCTGCAAAGCACAAGCTCCTGCACCCATCTTCAATACATGGGGTGCATGATTGTACAAACTGTGCAGAAATAATCACAATTCTTGGGCAGGTATCCAGCTGGACCTGTTGGGTGACTGTTGTGTGACCCATTGCCTGGTGACCAAATGAGCTACCAGATGGCAGCCAGACCTTATCAGCTGTCTGGCGGTTATACAACAGGGATGCTTCAGCCACCTGATCGCTCAGGTGGCTCATGGTTTAAGCACTGGTATGGACTCTACCTGGGTGAAAATTGGCGGTGTACGCTTCTATCATGGGTACTGCAGGATGACGGGCTACAAGAAGCTCAACAAGAAACGAAGACCTGGTGTTGGAGCTACCAACAGGGCCGCAGAAATCTGGGAGGAAAACATTGGACAGGTTGATGAGTCTGCCGATGGACGTGCTTGTGGAAGTGAGTATAAGTGTAATTATCTACATCCTGCTAGAGGTGACACTCTTGTACATCAGGGAAAAATGACTTTGCTACATAGTATTACGAAGCCAGTGTAGAAGTCGAAGCAGTCGGAGAATGGTCCCCCTTTCAGTAGCAAGCACCAAACACGTCCCTGCTCCGGAAGCACTCTCGTAGTAACCACTAGTCTCAGGAGCACTCTCGTAGCAACTCTGAGGTATAACTGTAGCTTGCCCCATATAAGCAATATTGCACCTGGTATTGTAGTATTGATAACCAATCACCCATCTCATCATACAAGTATCATCAGAGCATTAATATTGAATAGCATATTAACTATTTTACAGGGCTGTATTTACACAGAATGTCTTGTACTACCACTTGAATGAGCATGGGCAAACATTACATTAGTATGTATCACCTTGGGCACACAGCTGGATGTGGCACACTGAGGTAGCGCACAAAGACGGCGCCGGGCTGCGGTACTCCGGGGAAGAGCGCCGCGGGCAACACAAAGTTGGTGCCAGCAGCAGACACGTTCATGTGGTTGAAGAGTGCAAGTGCACGCACATGCGCCATCACCTGATCGTAGACGGTGCAGCCACATGCGCGGCGCTGTAGTTGCTTTGCGAGCTGTCTATGCCGAGGTCAAGAACGTGGCTCCCATTCGCGCTCACGAGTGCCCCCGCTACAGCGAGCACCGCATAGAAATTTATATTCATGTTTGCACTACCCACACTCGCACCGCACGCAACACCCGCCAGCAGCTTGAGCAGGTTGTACAATACGCCCAGCTTGTGCGTGTGCAGGTACACACCTGAATAGCCAACGCTTGCCCTCTGCAGCGCACAATCCACCATCCAGAGGCTGACAGCAAGCTTGTTGGACCCAGGGACCCCACCACAAGAGGCGGAATCAAACTCGTCCATCAGTAGGGGCTGCGCTGGTTGGACGGCGTCGAGATGATGGCCTGGAGGTCCAAGTGCTGACCTCGGTGAGCCTTTGTACACAGTACCTGTGCGAGCCGTGCTTACCACTTGCTCTCTGCCACTCACGGGCCCGTCTTCACCGCTTAATGATACACCACTGAGCCTCTCGCTGGTATTCATGCTTGCTGTTCGATGACGGGCGCACCCATGTGTCTCTCGAGCAGCCGCACAGGATGCCAGTCATTGCGCCTGCCAGTGTTGCTCAGTTAATCACTAGGATTACTAGTTAAAGGTTGACTATTGTGACTAGTTAATGACCAGTTAAATAGTTATTGCCTGACGATGACTGGGTGGTGCTCTGGGTCTCTCCACGTGATTTACCGAATGCGCCATGCTGCCCGCATGTCTGCCTTCTGAATGCTTGCTGCAGCCTCACCAGGCCCTCGAGACTTGCACGTGTCCTTGTGTACATAGCCTGTGAGGTGGAATACATCATTTTTGACAATCCCACTTCGCTCTGAACGTCTCCCACCACTCCGAGCTCGATGAACCACATCGAGAATGTCAGAGGGAAGTCCAGCTGGTGGAGAAGGCACTTTCTTGACCATCCACTAAGGTCGATGAAGCACCCATCAGCATATGCAAATCCGGATGCGCCTACCTCTGACAAGTTCAAGGTCATCTGTTGTGCCTGCTACACTTCTGCCCTTAATCAGGCAAAGTGGACTGATCCTCATCTCAATCAGTCAGCTTTCAACGATCAACGTGAGTACTATTTATTGGCCGTGATTGTTGTAATAAGCAGTTGCTAATATCTCACCAGTATGGAGTCAGTCAAAGGCAGATGCAGATTGTATCTGGATCTCCACTGCAAAGCCAACAATAATAAATCACCTCATCCATTGCAAGCGTGGGGTGCTGCCTGAGGTCAAAGAACAAGCAATCACAGAGAAGATGAAGAAAGATTCAGCCGCCAACAGAGGGGAGGAGGCTTATGAGTACATGGAAGCTCCCATAGCAGGTCCGTCGAGTAGGTTCAGCTTTGATCCTGCTGCTGCCGCACCACAGTACTATCCGCCATCAGTCCAGCCTGAGCCTACAGCCTATCCCATGGCACCAGGACTTCAGCAATCATTCTCGCTCCATGCAGGCTTTCACGGGGCACTTCCTTCACCCCTCATAGGCAGCTCGGCAGGTAAGTGAAAGAGAATGATGGCATCTGGTGCCTTTCGTCTAAGCTGACCCATGCAGATCGCACTATGTCACCTATTCCTCTAGAATTCCAACAGCTTCCGGCCACCGTGACTCCCTCCTCTTACTCTCCGTTGCCCAGCCCAACTATAACGTCATCGTCATTTGGCCAGGGTTTATCCCTGCCAAATGTTTACGTTCCTCTGCTCAGGCGTGGCGCTAGCCGACACCCCATTTCTATGCCGCCGAGACTCACAGCTTCACACTGGACGGACAGCTGCCAAGAGCACTTTGAAATGCTCATCACCCGCTTGACGGCTTCAGCAAATCTTCCCCACCGCTGGGTTGAGAATCATGAGTGGGTGACACTTGTTGCCAAATTTATTCCAGGCGCGAAGCTTTTCTCACGAAATAAACTAACAAAGACTCTCATTCCGCAAGAGCTCGAGCGAGTTCAGGGCTTGGCACAGAAGAACTTGAAGGACCTGAAGGTTGCGGAAGGGACTTTCCAACTGGACGGCTGGACAGGAGGCAACTACCATCACTTCCTAGGGTTCATGTTCATGGCCGGATCGAAGGTATGACATATGCAGGCTTGCAGAAATTTATTCTCAATTATCTCCTATGTATTTCAGGTCTTTGCAGCTGAACTCAAGGATACATTGTGCGAAAGGAAGACTGCAGAAAAATTACTCACACATGTGCGGGCCGAGTTTGCTCGCACGGAGGAGACATGGAACATCAAACTTGTTGCCCTCGTTTCGGACAACAGCAGCAAGTCGCTAGCGATGCGGAAGGCCTTGCAACTTGAAAGGCCAGATCTTATCATCATGCAGTGCTACACTCATTAGATCAACCTTGTAGTTGGCGACTATTTCAAGAAGTCTGGTGCAAAATTTCTCAAAGCGTCCGCTGAGGCCGACCAAGTGATCAGGTGGCTCCGCAGCAAGACCCAAGTCCTTGCAATACTTCGCAAGGTTCAGGAGGAGCAAGGCGTCTCGTCTCCTCTAACTGTTATTCGCGCTGTTCTTACTCACTGGACCTCTCATTACCTTGCTTATTGGCGTCTTCTTGACCTCAAGAACTGGATCACACAGGTTATCCCCCAGGATAGAGGGCGCGTCGAGGCCAGACAAGAGAGTCAGCTGGTCACAGGCGATAGAGAAGCAAAGGAGAAGGCAAAGGAGACTCTTGCGATCATTGATAAGGCTATTTTTTGGCACCAACTCGCACGGTACGTCGCAATCGAGCTTTGCTAACAATGGCGTAGCAATAATCTTTGTAACCTGCAGCATCAAGGTACATCTCATGCCGCTTGCGCTAGCTGCCAACATTCTCCAGTCCACATCGAGTCGACTCGATCACGTCGCCCTGGTGTTCGGCACATTGTTTCTTCGATTTACTAATCTTGCTGAAGACAAGGACGCTGATGCCGATGAAGAAGAGATCTGCCGGGCTGTATGCAACAGTCTCAATAAGCGATGGCTGGACAGTGATCAAGGCGTCCTTGTAGCAGCGGTCATTCTTAATCCACATACTCGAGCAGCGCCACTTAAGAGCTTCTGGCACGCAGACGTCATAACGCTACTCGCCCGCATTTGGAAGCGTCTGTTTTCATCAGATACTGTCCCGCCCGCGTTCTACAATGAGGTGAAGGAGTACATCTCAGACACCGGCACCTACGCAGACATGCCAAACCTTGCTGCGTCACTCCAAAACCCTGATGATCCGGACGTGAGTGTGCTTGTCTCAATTCTGACAAATGCTAATCACGCATTATCAGCATTCCGCTGCACCTCTTGAAGTCTGGAAGCTCTTCATGACAGCCAGTGGCCCGGTCTCTCCTCTGCAGCGGCTTGCCGAACGCA